ATCCTTAAGGAAACATTTCGCGATAAGGGGTACAACCAAACCATCATTAATGATGCCTTCGAAAAACACCTGGTACTATTCAGTTGTGTGCCGTACAAATAAATTACCCTTTTACACTATGGAGGCGCTCTGTTTTGTTCTTTGTTTCCCAGGATAGTACATGCTGTGACTTCACAACTCCTTTCATCCCTACAATAGATGCAGCCAAATAATACAATGCACCAATGGAACATTGAAAATAATAGTGAAGAACTCTGCACTTTAGGTGAGCTAAAGAGCTCCTACAATGCAGATGTGAATACGGACCATAACCCCAATTGACCGGTTGCAGAGCCACAAACGTTCCTTCCTAGCCTTGCAGATCATTCTTTGAGTCAAGCAGAAGAAGAATGCTACATTGTTCCAGGAGCAGATCTGTGAGGAAAAATATACATCTGATTAGAATTCCTTTGAGGAATAGGCCCCACGGACGACCATAGACGTTGGTCTCGCGGTAACTGAGCGGGCAGACTTCGCATTTTTTGAATTTGTGCTACATCGAATGCTTCCTGTAGAAAGACATTTTAGAGCGCAGTCTGGAAATACTTAATCCTAGCTCGGATGACTGCCTATCGGGGCGGTGGGAATGCAGCTAGAAGGGAAGGATCAGGTTGCATCCCGGGAGGGAGGTCGGTTTGTTTAGGAGCAATGGGAGTTATTATATGAAAAGGGAAGCAGGTCGAGCAGGGTTATTGTAATGAGAGAGAGTGACCCAGTCAGCTATTATTAAAGCAATTAGGCCCATTGCTTCCTAGAGGCACTAACAAGAAAAGGAGTTTAACCTGTTTCCTTTGTCACGTCCGCCTGTGTATATACTTAATGGTATCTCTATGTGCTATGCGTACCCTGCAGCACTAACGATAACGTGCAATTGATGTTTTTTTGACTCAAACGTGTTCGCTGAACAAAGGTATATTTTACACTTAGATTCTAATCTTTATTTTTATTCATAATTAATTCCGACATGAGCTTCATAGGGTGGCCATGGAGGGACAATTACCAAGTATAGTGGTCATTGGTACGTATTCTAGTTCCCAGAGAACAGCAGCACTCAAACTTTTCCCAGATATGTGGAATATGTCACAGTGATATGTTTTTCTATACCGTGTTTCAGTGTGAAGCTTGTAATCATACAGTATGTACATGAGGAAGCTACATTGGTATGTATGCAGGCCCTGCTTGTTTGTGCTGCAGAATTGTAGTGCTTTGCTAATCCTCTTAGATAATTGAACTCGCCTGCAGTCACTAATGAGATAAAACACCCACAATGCTTCTGATAGCTAAAGACCATGTGATCGTTACTAGGCATTAGGACTCGTGAGGTAGCTTGGTTTGTGATCTTAAAAAAAGGGTGTTTAATCCCCTCTCTTTTTGCTTGTGTTAGTGGTAGACATGTGAAGGGCCAAAAAAAAAATTGTTTCGGACGAAACAAATGAAAATGAAAAAAATTTTCATTTGTTTTGTCATTGTAAACTCATTTTAATGCTGTTTTGGATTTGGAGGCATCAAGCCTTCGAATCCGAACAAAGAAACTGCAGAATGCCAGTGCGTTCTGCGCATGCGCGCTGCCATTTGAGTATATCTAGGTATACACCAAGATGGCGGCACCCGAATATGTGGGCGCCACCATCTTGGTGTATACCAAGATATACTCCAAAATGGCTGCGCGCATGTGCTGAATCAACTGAATTTCATCCGAATGCACATGTCTAGTTAGTGGAGTGCAGGTAAGAGCTACCTTAAAAAAAAAAAAAAAGAAGCTATTGTCATTACAGGTTGTGCAGCTGGAAATCAAAACTTTTTTCTTTCTCGTCCGTTTAAGGACATAGGAAGTCTTTAAAGGAGAACTATGAGGTCAGGGCTTTTCCCCATAGTTCTGCTAAGGGTCACGCTAGAACACAAACTAACGTTCTCCCGTCACCCAAAGCTACAGTTCGCAAGCTACAGCTGCGGGATTGACAGCTGGCTCTGCCTATCCAGAGGCAGAGCCAGCTGTGCCCGCCCCCTCCCCCCCCGTCCGTCCCGCCAGACAGCGCTGGAGGATCAGAGGGGGGGGGGGAATCCCTGCACGGAGCCGTGAGTGACAGTCACGGCTCTCTGCAGGGATAGATCGAGAAGTGAGCGAACGCCGGTATGTGTTCGCTCACTTCCCGATCTACTGAGCCGTCCTGTGACAGCTTCATTGCCACAGGTCAGCTCAGATTATGAGGCTGAGTGAAAATCACTTCTCCTTTAAACTTTGGGTTATACTGCCACCTACAGGTAGATTGCACTAGCAACCCAAAAAAGTACACCTTACCAGGATACCACCTTCTACTACTGGCATGATACTCTCCTAGGAGGATGAACGTCTCTTCTTTTCTTGCTAGCATCATTTTTGTCAAGACTTTTTTCTACATCGCTGCTAGAGCTGGTCTTTTCCATTGCCGCGTTCTAGCAAGGCCATGCTCAGACTGGCTATTGAAGTGCTGTGTCTGGACCCCGCTGGACTAGATGCTGCAGGGCTATCCCAAAAGTGCCCTTCGGGTACTGGGTTCTGCGTAAGAGACTTTTCAGACTCGGTTCTGGTAATATGTTACCCACAGAGTGCTTTCCAAGTCCAGAGCTGGGGTTGATCCTGAGGGACTGAGCGCTGACATCGTTCGCTGGGTGCTGGACGATCCATAATGCCTTTTCTGCCATTCAGTTGCGTGGAAGCATTTCCCCACTGATGTGCCTGTATTGCAGAGAGCTGCATAGAACTCCGACCTTCGGCCCGTTTATACTGACCACCTACAGTGGCTGTGTGCTGGGTTTCGAACCATGAGCCTTAGGGTGCCCACACACCTTACGATAATCGTACGATAATCGCGGGAAATCCCGCGATCGTACGATTATCGTAAGGTGTGTGGAAGCCGTGCGACCTCTACTACTGTAAGGTCGCACGACTTTAAACTTACGAACATGTTCAAAAACCCGCCGAGCATCGTACGACGTTCTGCGGGTATGTGGCATGTTCGTAAGATAAAAGCCGGACGGGCCGGAGTGCGCAAGTGCACACTGCCCGTTCGGCATTGCGGTCATCGGAAGCCCGCCCCTCAGGGGGGCGCGGCTTGCGATCATCGCAAGTGCGATCTGCCTGTTCAAGATAGGCAGATTGTACGTTTTTTTAAGTACCTTACAACCATCGCAAGACAAAAGTCTAACGATGGTTGTAAGGTGTGTGCCCAGCATTTAACTGCCATGCAATCATAACATATCTGATTCTAGACATCAGGAGGGGCGGTTCACCACTTTAAAACGTGGCCTAGTACTAGACACAGCTTAGGCCAGAGTATTACTCCATCAGGAGAAACTTCAAACTCTTTGATCCAAGACTTGTCCTTTCCAGTCCAGGAGTTGTCAGACTCTTCACTCTCACATAAGAGTCTTGGACTTGGACGGTATCCTCCTTGGGATCAGTCCCATCTTCCCAGTTTCATTCCAGACCCCTACAATGCAATATTCTGTCAGCATGGGAGAAGTTGGTCTTGTCTTTGAAGAGACCAGTTCGTTTGGCACAGAGCACCACGTTGTCCCTGGCCTGGTGGCTCAGATATCCATCTGAATCGGGGAATTGTTTTTAGCCATCATTTGGAAGATTGTCATGAAAGATGCAAGCATGAGCACCTTGCAAGGTTGGAGAGGGGGGGGGGAGGCAGATTGAGTCAGAAAGCACCATGGTAGTGGTATAAACTGGGGTTCCTCTTTAATCCCCTGGCTTGTATATTGGGGTTCCTCTTTAATCCCCTGGCTTGTATATTGGGGTTCCTCTTTAAACCCCTGGCTTTCATACTGGGATTCCTCTTTAAACCCCTGGCTTTCATACTGGGGTTGCTCTTTAAACCCCTGGCTTGTATACTGGGGTTCCTCTTTAAACCCCTGGCTTGTATACTGGGGTTCCTTTTTAATCCCCTGGCTTGTTCCTGAGGTTCCTCTTTAAACCCCTGGCTTGGATACTGGGGTTCCTCTTTAAACCCCTGGCTTGTATACTGGGGTTCCTCTTTAAACCCCTGGCTTGTATACTGGGGTGCTCTATAAACCCCTGGATTTCATCCTGGGGTTCCTCTTTAAACCCCTGGCTTGGATACTGGGGTTCCTCTTTAAACCCCTGGCTTGGATACTGGGGTTCCTCTTTAAACCCCTGGCTTGGATACTGGGGTTCCTCTTTAAACCCCTGGCTTGGATACTGGGGTTCCTCTTTAAACCCCTGGCTTGGATACTGGGGTTCCTCTTTAAACCCCTGGCTTGGATACTGGGGTTCCTCTTTAAACCCCTGGCTTGGATACTGGGGTTCCTCTTTAAACCCCTGGCTTGGATACTGGGGTTCCTCTTTAAACCCCTGGCTTGGATACTGGGGTTCCTCTTTAAACCCCTGGCTTGGATACTGGGGTTCCTCTTTAAACCCCTGGCTTGGATACTGGGGTTCCTCTTTAAACCCCTGGCTTGTATACTGGGGTTCCTCTTTAAACCCCTGGCTCGTATACTGGGGTGCTCTTTAAACCCCTGGATTTCATACTGGGGTTGCTCTTTAAACCCCTGGATTTCATACTGAGGTTCTTCTTTAAATCCCTGGCTTGTATACTAGGGTTCCTCTTTAAACCCCTAGCTTGTATACTGAGGTTCCTCTTTAAACCCCTGGCTTGTATACTGTGGTTCCTCTTTAAACCCCTGGCTTTCATACTGGGGTTCCTCTTTAAACCCCTGGCTTGCATACTGGGGTTCCTCTTTAAACCCCTGGCTTGTATACTGGGGTGCTCTTTAAACCCCTGGCTTGCATACTGGTGTTACTTGTTTATTTTTTCCATCATGTGAGAACAAATATAAAAGCCTAATAAAAATAAAATGCATCAAAGTGGGAGTGGTCACCCGTCCGTCCTGCAGGCGTGCTGCGAGCTCCGTCGCCATCTAGTGTCCGAATCGAGGAATTGCACGTAACAACTTTTCCTCCTGTTTGCATTATGTGCGTGCGGCCGGTGATCCCGGAAGTAGTGTGCGGAGGATTCCCCGATCATGGCGTCGCCAGGTTTGGAGCTGCTCTTTGCTCTAGCGGCCCCGGAGATCACCGAGCCTCAGGACCCCCTAATCTGCTTCATTCACTGGGAACTGATCAGCCAAGGCTTCCGCTGCCTGGGGAAAGGCGAAAAGGTAACACAGCAACTTCCTCTGTGCACAGAGCTGTTTTATAGTAGCGCAGTGTTGTGGCTTCATCTGTCATCAGAGAAGTCCTGTATGCTGGAAGATAAATACTTGTCTCATTGTGCCAGAGATTATTTATTAGTTAATGATCATTGATACATTAGGATTTTATTACAGTGTTACTGAGACATACCTGTCATTCTGTAGCCACTCAATGACTAAGCAAACTATATCAGTAATATTTCTACTTGATAACACCTATCAAGTAGAAAGATTACTGATATAAGTGCTTGTGTTTTACACTGATTAGAGCTGACCTCCAGAGATATATATATATATATAATGTGTATCTATATTCACTCCTTGTTAGTTTCCTTCTATTGCTTCATATGCATTGCACCTGTTATTCTTGTTCTTCCACTGATTCACTATTACACATCAGTGTTTGTTTTCCCTGTGTGTCATCGTCAATTATCTTTTACAAGAAAATTAAGTCTTTATTTTTTTCCCTTATTTTCTGTAGTCACTAAGGCCAAAGTAAAATGCCAACCAGGTGCTTTTTCCCATAATGTGAAAGTATGCACGGCATATTTGCATATTATGGCAGCTTTCCAGATCAAGATTATCCTTTCCGGCGCTACGATATCCGCGCTTCCCTCCGTCACTGGCATTACCCTTGTTATCCAACGTCTTCCAGGTTAAGTTTACGGTTACCTTGATTGGCTGGGTTGATGTAACTTCTGCATTGCGCAGGATGTAACCGCTGCACTGCGCAGGATGTAACCGCTGCACTGCGCAGGAGGTACCCGCTGCACTGCGCTGGAGGTACCCGCTGCACTGCGCTGGAGGTACCCGCTGCACTGCGCTGGAGGTACCCGCTGCACTGCGCAGGAGGTAGCCGCTGCACTGCGCAGGAGGTAGCCGCTGCACTGCGGTGGAGGTAGCCGCTGCACTGCGCTGGAGGTAGCCGCTGCACTGCGCAGGAGGTAGCCGCTGCACTGCGCAGGAGGTAGCCACTGCACTGCGCAGGTACTTCATCCCAGCACAGAATCATGCCAAGACTGTATACTGAGCTTGCACATGTGTGGCTCCGTGTTCACAGACATAAAGGAAAAGTGCAGGCAGGCCAGTAGAAGCATCTATGACAGAAGAGACTTACGTAGCCTTTCCTGTCATGGTAAAATTACCTGTAAGCATTTTTTACAAATCCCACTTTAATTCTGCTGTGACTGGTGTTTTGGAAGGATAAACATTGTCATTTTACAGCTCTAGGGTTGGCTATGCACCTCGCATTCTTAATGTGCAATCTCTTTTCAGTCTCCTTTAGATTTACAGAAACTGTGTAGCAGGACCCGGACCTAAACCATCAATTCATTTTTATATCTTGACAGATAGACTTTCATAACACATAATTGTTCTTAGATCTTATGAAGATTGTTTAATCAGGTTGCAAGGTGTATGGCCAGCTTTACTCATGTTTCCTCCGTTGCTGCCTATGTACATTCCGCCTCTTCATGTAGTCCTCCCCCCTTCAGTCTATCATGAATGCAGCTTCCAGACTCATTCACCTTACCAACCGCTCAGTGTCTGCATCCCCTCTCTGCCAATCCCTGCACTGGCTTCCACTCGCCCAGAGGATAAAATTCAAAATATTAACAGTCACCTATAAAGCCATCCACAACTCCGCCCCCGGATATATCTCAGACCTTGTCTCAAAGTATCACCCTAAACGTCCCCCTCCGCTCATCCATTGACCTCCTGCTTTCCAGCTCCCTTGTCCCCTCCTCCAATGCTCGCCTCCAGGACTTCTCTAGAGTCTCTCCCATCCTCTGGAACTCCTTACCCCAACCTGTCCGTCTATCTCCCACCTTGACTGCCTTTAGGCGTTCCCTAAAGACTCATCTCTTCAGGGAAGCCTATCCCACCTCAACCTAACCACTGAACCTTCACATTCTCACATAATTCATTCCCACAGCTACCTCATGTATCATTCCCCCCTCCTCTTTTAGATTGTAAGCCCTCAGGGGCAGGACCCTCCTTACCATCTTGTCTTGAATTGTATTGTAACTGTAATGTCTTCCTTATATTGTAAAGCGCTGCGCAAACTGTTGGCGCTATATAAATACTATGTAGTAATAATAATAATAATACTTTGGGTTTTACACTGATTACCCTTCTTTTGCTTTATACAACCTCCCCACATTTCATCTGAGAGATTCCCAGAGGCTGTGTCACACATTCCCATTATTCATGTACAGCTAAGACAACCACACTATGACATTTGGAGCCCATTCAAACCAAATGCATTGAGCTGTGCTGGGCTGCCTTGCTCTCGATAGATAGCCAAGCCAAATTGCCTTATGTCCTATTAGTTCAGTTCAAACCACTGTGCTGCCGTGGCATGCACTGAACAAAATAGTAGGCATGCAGAACTTTTTTTTTCTCCTTTTCTGCAGCTTGTTCAATGCATTACACCCGCTGCAGTGAGAAAAGCTGGCCATACACTGTTCAACCTGCGTTCTGAACACAAAACATAAAACAGATTCCTCCATCAATGCTTACCATCGTTGATCGCGGAATCTCCCGATGTCTTCATTGTGTCCTGACAGCGGCCGCCAAACAGCTCATCGGTTGCCGACTCTGTTCGTACGAAGATTTTGCGGCAGGCTCCTTCGGTCAGCTGATCGAGGGATGCCGGCCGCAAAGGGTGCCGACAGCTGCACCCACTGTGCAAATTTTGGCAGGTTCATCAAGAACTGGCTGAAATTCGCACGTTAAATGTGAAGTGTCATTTTGGAAAGTCAGGAAATCACCAGCACTCAGTAGTAAAGATAAATATGTCCCTTTTATTGGACAGAAAGCGTCACAGACATCCAAATAAACCGACGTTTCGGGGCGAGCAGGGTCCCTTCCTCAAGGCATCTTTCTGCCTTGAGGAAGGGACCCTGCGCTGACTTTCCTGTGTTTGCACGGCGCCATCCGTGGTAATTCATCACTGCGAGCACCACTTTTTTCTTATCTGGCCGGGACTGCTGTGGGGAGTGCGGAGGGTCTCTCCATCTACTTACAAGTGTCATTTTGGGACATCACAGTGCAGTTGAAAAAGTAAAAGGTTCAATGCATCGGTTACAACCCATCGGCGCTGTTTACTTCACAGCACATACCAGAGACCGCGGTAAAAGGCAGCCGCTGGTGTGATTACATATGAGTAGGCATTGATATGTTATCCGTGTTCCTGACAGTCTTGCAGGGATTGCTGTTCCTGTGCAGAGAGACTAGAGGGCTGTAGTGTGTAAACAGAGTTGTAGGGTTTTTTTCTTCATGCCCAGACAAGCCAATATAGCTGTCACCAAATACAAAGACGAGGAAATCTAACTCATGCAAATCCTGGATTACGTAAAGGATTTCAGAACATAACCTAAATTTAAGTAAGGGAGTGTCTGCATATATTGGGATTTTTTTGTTTGCTGTATTATGATTAAAGGAGAACTATGGGGTCAGTGTTTTTCCCACAAACTAGCGTCCTCCCGTTACCCATCGTTCACTTCTCGATCTAAACCTGCAGAGAGCCGTGACTGTCACGCACGGCTCCCTGCAGGGATTCCCCTCCTCCCCTGTCCGATCCTCCAGCGATGACTGGCAGAACGGACGGGGAGGGGGCGGGCACAGCTGGCTCTGCCTCTGGATAGGCAGAGCCAGCTGTCAATCCCGCAGCTGGGTGGATCTCGACAGCAATGTCGGGATCCGTTCCGGCTGCGGCGTCTCAGTATACTGAGCTTTGGGTCACGGGAGAACGCTAGCTTGTGTTCTACCGTGACCCTTAGGAGAACTATGGGGAACAGCCCTGACCCCATAGTTCTCCTTTAACCTGTCAGGCATTTTTTATAGCTTTCCTCTATTAGCCAGAAAACCTTCTCAGTGTGCCCAGGATGTCGCTTTCACTTGGGATGTGGCTTTCCTTCATCTGCGCTAGGATTTGCTCAAATCAACTGAGAGCACCCTTGTTGTCTTATTGGGCATGGGGACAGTGGACAAGTAGAGCTTAGCTCAGTAGATGGAGAAGACCAGTCCCTAGTGAGAGTGAAACCGGCATCAGATAGGTACACAGAGGAGGAATTCCTGGGTGGGAGATATTATGAAGGCTTTTAATTTCAAAGTAGATGTAAACTGATTCTCAGAGTCAGCTCCCTGAAGCCTTCCTCTCCCTCGGCTGCAGCGTCACATTCTATACACAGTATACAGGACGCGAGGAGGATCGGGTGAATAAAGCTTTGTTATTTTCCTCCCTAGACTAAAGCGAGCACGCAATCATTGCAGTGTGGGGGTAGCCTCACTGCAAGAGTTATTAAAAAACTTTCCCTAGAGTTTCAAAAGTTGATAAAACATATTTTTAAATCTGAAGCTTTTATTAAAACAATACCTGGTGATCCTGCCATGAAGGCCCGTGTTCAGTTACTTCCTGTTATTGGGTGACAACCATCTCCTAGTTATGCCCATGCATTGTCATCCTGTCACATGCATCACTGGTGACGACTACAATTGGCCATGTTGATATGCATTGCGAAGGCATGGTCCACTGACTCCAGTCCAGAGCAATGATGTCAGTCTACGTTGGAATGCATGTAATTGGGAAGTGACCGAAAGAGGCAGGAAGGAGATCAGGGTAAAAAAAAAAGTCAAAACAGGATTTTATAAGAGAAAACATGGCTGCTGTTTAGGATAAATATCAAATATGTCCTCCAATTAGAGTTTAAATATTTAAAGTGACGTACAGGTTTTAAGAGAGTATGGCCATGCATTTGATTAGAGACAGTGAGGTCACCTCATTTCAGACAGTTCATTTTAGAGCAACTCTGTCACTTGAATAAAATAAAAGCAGACTGTAAAAGGAGACTCTTAAAGTGACCCTATCGCTACAGGTTGGAAGTAACATATGGCCCACCTATCTGGCAGCCCTTCTATTAAAACGCCACAGCGTCCCTGATCCCTGACCCGCACTAACTGTGGTTCTTTCTGCCAGCTGGTACCGCTTAGGCGGAACCACAGCACATGGTGGAAGATGCTGGCATGCAACACTCCCGGAAGTTTCAGTTGCTGGAGATTCTGCCAGAGGACGTAGCTCTTCCTCAATGGGAAGTTCGAGCTTGCGGCCTTTTTTACAGGCTGCCGATTTTTCGTTTTTAACAAGTTTGTATAATTTGTGTTGCTGTTGTGTGTAATAGGAATGATTTCATGTTATTCTTTTTCCCCCCGCAGGCCGGCGACGATGAGAAAGAATCAGAGAGACTTCCAGATGGCTGGGCCAGCAACAAAGAGCTGTACACATTGCGATATGGGAACAGCAAGTCAAAGATTCTGTGCAAAGCTTTGAAAGTGGATATCACCTTGCTGGTGAATATTATGGTAAGGACAGCAATATAGGGGTGCGATGTATTTCATAGTTTTATTTTCTATCTCTGCACTCTATCAGTTTCAGGTCATTATATTGGAACTCTACTTCTGTGGAATGAAACCAAGGCCCATGCAAACAGCTAAATACACATATGTTTTTTTGTTGTGCTTGCTAAAGGTTTGCATTGTCTAAATAGAGGAGTCATGTGTATTCTTCCTGGGATTTTTTTGTCCTTTGTATATTTCTTCCAGATCCGTGTAGTAATCCAGTGAGACTTGGAGCTTCTTGTAATAAGGAGCGGTCACTGCTGCTCCCTCTCAATAGGCCGGGTGACTGGTCTTGTCTCCGCCCCCTCCTGTAATAAAGACCGATCATTGCTGCTCTCTCTCCATGTGCAGGGTGACTGGTCTTGTCTCCGCCCCCTCCTGTAATAAAGACCGATCATTGCTGCTCTCTCTCCATGTGCAGGGTGACTGGTCTTGTCTCCGCACCCTCCTGTAATAAAGACCGGTCACTGCTGCTCTCTCTCCTTGTTCAGGGTGACTGGTCTTGTTTCCGTCCCCTCCTCTAATAAAGACCGGTCACTGCTGCTCTCTCCTTGTGCAGGGTGACTGGTCTTGTCGCCGTCCTCTCCTGTAATAAAGACCGGTCATTGCTGCTTTCTCACCTTGCGCTGGGTGACCGGTCTTGTCTCCACCCCGCCTGTAATAAAGACCGGTCACTGCTGCTCTCTATTCTTGTGCAGGGTGACTGGTCTTGTCTCCACCCCCTCCTGTAGTTTCCTGAAGGCAGCCTGTTGTGGGTGGGACCTGCTTGGTCTCTCCCACAGCTCTACTCTCTGCATAGGCTATGTACAGCACAGTGAGGATGTCGCTGTTCCTTTTTGAAGGTAATAAGTAGGTTTGCAAAGGCATTTAGTGCATTAATATTCTGTGTGTCTATTGAGGAATATATTGAAATTTAACTTTTTTGTGCTCCGAATTCCACAATTTCTGCACAGTTGGCCAGTATGTGGGGCTAGCTCTATTTTTTTAATACTTAAAACCCACTTTTTAATTAATGTTTTATTGTTGGCATTGTATCAGGTGAAGCAGGAACCAACGGAAACACCCCTTATCGCAATTAGACCTTTTTATTTATTTTTTATCAGTTGCACTGGTGGTGTTAAAAAAAGAAATGAACTCTGGAAGCTGTGCCCACCAGTATTCCCTGCAGCCGATCTTTCCTCAACCATGCCTTGTTCTGCATTGTGTCTGTCTGTGTGGAGGCCATCTTGGCAGAGGCGGAACTTTGATTTCTCATGTCAGAGCCTCCAGCAAGGAGAACAGTGAGCAGCACAGTATGACATTAGCCAGTCTTGTTCCACATCTAGCAGTCAGAAGCTAGGTCCCTTAACACAGTGCTCCCCAACCTTTTTATCGCCGCGGACTGGTCAACGTTTGATAATTTTACCGCGGCCCGCTGAGGGGGGGACGTTGATTGTTTATATTTTAGATTGTTTTGATTTAATAATTTTAATTTAATTGTATTTAAAAATGCAACATACCTGGAAGTGCACTGTTATTTTGACATAATTAAATAATAATGATTAATAATTTAATAATAATAATTTTAGGGATTTAAGACAAAAGGTACATATTTCAGGGTAATGCTTAGACACAATTGACATGTCAGGTATTCTCTAATCCAGTTGTGATTCCTGTAATGCATACAGCTAAATAATGTAGAGTTGATTGTTTTTCCATGCAGCAGAATGTTACTTATAAAGCCTCGTCATTTTATTTTTTACCCCCGTACACAGGACATGAAGACAGAAAAGCTCAATAATGTGACGCTGATTGTTGGAGACTTCATAGACAAAGCCCACCTGAAAGACTTCTCCAGGTCAGCAGTATGTCGTTCATTCTTAATAAAATGTTTGGAATTGATAAATAGGCAATAGATTTTTTAACACGGAAAGTGTGCTGATCTTACTTTCATCTTTGCCGTGGAAGTGATCCGTAATCTTTATTTTAAATGAACCTGTAAAGATTTGTGAGAATCCTAATAACAATAACGCCTGCTGTTCATTTATGTTTGTTAATTCTCTAGTTTTGTTTTCACTGGGTCAGGGTCCTGGATTGCAGCTAAGTCAGATACATGTTTTAGGGCCCATTCACACCACATCCAGATCATCTTCAGACCAGACCAGATTGTTTCCGGACCCAAAAGGCATCCTAATGTATCCCTATGCTATTTCTGGCCTCTGTTCACACCAGCGCAGTCCGTTCCAGACCAGATAAATACTGCATGTCTCATTTTGTCTAGTCTGGGATGCACTGGAATGCAATGGACTGCACCTGAAAGCCCATTTTAAGCTAAAAAAAGGCTCCAGAACGCAGCAAAATTATGTTAAAAACGTAGCAAAAACATGATGCACTGCGTTCCAGTTCTGGTCCAGATCTGGTCTGGAAAATGGTGTGAACCCAGCCTTAGACAAAATGTAGTTGGTGTGGTTTGCTGTGCTTCTACATACTTCATTTTGTGATGTAAATCTGGAGATATAAAATAAATAAATATAATACATCATGAGCAGTGTAAGTAGCTGACGTTGACCTGGTATTAGCATCTTGCAGCAAAGCACAGACTGAGAGAAGAAGCAGCAAAGGAGCCAATCAGTTGTACTGCAGTGCTCATGTGCTAGCAAGGGACATTCTGGAAGGAGGAGAGATTAGAGGTGAGCTCATCAGTCTGCAGTTTCTCCTTTCACAAGTCCAGTCACAAGCTGGGGAAGACCTGTAACTGTGCTGAGAATTTCAGGTCTACTGCCCTGCCAGATAGGGCCGAGTTGTGTAAATCTCAGGATTACATTGTAGTACAATGTATTACAGATACATTGATAGGTGAAATGGTTCCATTTGTATGTATTTTATCTGTGTATTTAGAATTGTGTCTGGTGTGTGGCTTTAATGCCCTGTTGCAAATGTGTTTCTTTCCTTTACAGGGTGTTTAAGAAAAAAAAAGAGCTGAAGCGACACTTGGATACAGAACTAATGTTACCACTGCTTGGCCCTAAGGTGACAAGTGGAAAGCTTGAGAAGGAACGGGACAAACCCCCAGATTATTTTACCCCCAGTGTCCCACCTGGCAGCTCTGCACCACAGCACACTCCACGGTGAGAACACCTTTCATTTCTGATCCATGTAATTAGGGATGCGGCTACCAAGTATTTGGGAGAGTACGTCTACTCGCCCAAATGCTCCCATACCTACCCATGATATAGGAACTTTTGGTCAATGGAAGATTTCCTCTGACCAGCACTGCCGCAAGGGGACCTGGAGCCGGCTTCTCAGCCAACCAGCATGGAGGTGGCTTTCCGGCAAATCAGTAAGCCGGGCAGTGGGTAAGCTTCCTATATTGGCTGGGAAGCTGGCTCCATATTGATTGGCTGGGAATCCGGCTTCCCGGACAATCAGCATGGAGCCGCCCAAACAGCTTGGAGCTGGCTTCTTGATTGCCCGGGAAGCCAGCTCCATGCCAGCGCAAGTACTGGTATCGGTGAGTACCGAAATATTAAAATCGGTACTCGTTCTTAATACCGAAAAACCGTTATCAGTGCATCCACAATAAATCATTACATGTTGGGAAGAGGCCCTCATGGACCAGCTGACAGACTGGGACAGCTTTAAATGTGTAAAAATTCTATGTATATATAGATGGGAATGTGTAAATATATGATAAACAATGAGATGGTAAAACCTAATTGAATGTGGAGCATGAAGCTGAGGGGCTGATTAATAGTAAAACTAAACCATAAAACTTTGGGGCATAAAACTAGCAGGGGGCAGAGTTTTTAGGTGGAAGAGACTGCTCTTGGTGCATGCTCAGTACAGTGTACACTCCTGACTAATTCCTGCTGAGAACGGAGCTGGGTGCCAAGGCAATGTAAACCCAGCATGCATGCAAACGAGTTATATCTTCAGTGGTCACTCAATAGCCAAAGAGAAAAAACACCAGACCCAGAAGAAGTGACAGAGAAGATCGCTTTAGTGGTGAGAGGGACGATGTATCCATCAGTGCTGGAGACTAAGAGATATATCTGCTATAATGTGCATGTATGCTGTGCACAATATGGCAATGCTCCCCCCCCCCCCCCTCTTCCTC